GGACAAAGGGCCGAGGTGGCCATATGGCGCCTCACACGGTTGGCGTTAGTCAACAGGCTCTCCCGGGCTGCCAACCAGAGGAAGAGACGCACCCGCTGTGGCCCACGCCACCTCCAAATCAGCCGCCATAAGCTATCTGTACTTGCGCGATCGGGTTGCGATAAAGCACGATAAGCCGACCGAGATGATATAATAGTAAACTAGACGAGACCAGATGAGTTCGAGCTTTTGATATTTTAGCTCGAATTTTTATCGACACGAATTGATTAAAATTCGAACTCAGCTCGTGTTAGTATGAACGAATTCAATTTGACTCCGAGTCGAATTCAAGTTTCAGTGCGTTGAGTTGAGCTGGGCCAAATTAAAAGTGAAAATTAAATAAAACCTGTTATTTGCGAGCTTAACAGGCCTAGATTGAATTTAAATGAGTAGAATTTGAGTTTAAATTTTAATGAGTTGAATCGAGTCGAATTCATGAACAACTTGTTTTCGTTTAACATCTCTAATCATATATGAATTTTTAGGCGTAAAAACAAATGTTTTTATTACTGATTTTTAGTTTTTATTTCAAGTAAATATCATTGCCTCTTTATACATTAATAGATGAGATGACTAAATTAAACATACTTGTAAATATATTGAAATTACCATAAATTAATTATAAATTAATTTACCATTAATCAATCATGGGAAACACTTAAAAATAACAAATTCCAATTTTCAATGGGAAACTATCAGTGTTCTAGAAGTCGCTAGGCGCCCGCTAGGCGCCCGACCAGCACCTAGCGCGCCTAGTCGGGGCCTAGAAATTATGATAAATATATTATTTTTTATTTATTTTTACAATTTCACTAATGAAATTATAACTTATAATTAATAAATCCATACACCTAAGTCCCAATAATATTATTAATATTATATTATAAAAAAAACTCCAAGTCAAAATAAGTACATAACCACAATATAATTTTTTCTCATTGTAATTTTATCAAATACATTATCTACATGTTATGTTTTAAATATTACACAACATAAGATAAATATAAAAATTATAAAATAATAAATTATAAGATTTATTATTTAAATTAAATGCATTTAGTAAAAAAAAAATAATAATAAAAAAAATAAAAACCGCCTAGAACCCGCTTCGGCCGCCTAGAACCCGCCTCAGCCGCCTAGTTCCGCCGAAACCGCGTAGCCGTCGAGGCCGCCTAGCTCCGCCTAGGCCCGACTAGGCGCCGCCGAGCCCGCCCGGCCGATTTGGCCAAATCGTAGGCGTTGTACCGGCGCCTAGCGCCTAGGCGGCCGCTTAGGCCGACTTTTCGAACACTGGAAACTATATATATTTTCCACAATAATACTCTCATATCCACGGTGGACACATGTTAATATGTCCACTGATTATGTAGCATACACACATTGGTGATATATTTTTTTAAACATATTAACATCATCAATGTTGTGTATGCCAAACGGTGGACATATTAACACGTGTCCATCCTGGGTGGGGGAACATTATTCATATTTTCCAATCAACTATCTCTTGTACAAATTAAAATATGCACAACTTTTTCTTCCAGCTAACTTTCTTTCAGTTTCAACAACCAACAAAAAAATTTTGCCAATAAAAATATATCCAACCAACAACTTTTTCTCCAAACAATTGAAAACCTTGAAACAATTTCTCCTTGTTTTTCCTGCAGACACACATAATTCAAGAATCTCAGGCAGCTCAGAAAATCAACCTGACAAAAAAATAATAATAATAATAATAATAATCCAAACTTGCAGAGACACAATAAAAATCCATTAACAAAATGCAGCTCAGAATGAATCTTCTCTGTAATCTTTAATTCACTCCATGGATTAAGAAAAGAAAAAAAATCCACCTATCTTAAATTTTTACCATCATAACCTTCCCATCTGCCTCCCGAACAACAGCCTCGCATGCAGACGACCCATACCCGATATCCCTCCTCGCCTTCCACTCCTAGAACCAAAGGGGCCACCGTCAAAACCCGACAAAAAACTAGGCCGGGCCCACCCGAACATCCCACCGGACCCAAGCCCAAGCCCGTTCTCTATCACATAATCACCGATCACGATCGACCCAGGCCTGATCGTGCTCAGCACGTCGATCACTTCCCTCTCGTCCTCGAGCCTCTTCCATTTCTCGGCTTGCGTGGGGTCCACTTCCCGAGGCCTCGCCGAAGGGTGCTCCGACTTCACGTGCTTCTTGATCTGTTTATAGGTCCCGAAAAACGAGCAATCACGACGAGCACAGTTTCGTTTCCTCGAGTTGAGGAACTTACGTGCGGGTTTGACCGCGGTCCACCCTTTGACCTGCCCGCGGCAGAGTGGGCACGGGAGCTCGGGATTTTCGACTGAATTGGGTTCGTCTCGTTTGGAATAATCATCCTTTTCGGCAGTCGAGTCTTGCCGAGAATGTGTCGTCTTGGCATAGGCTTTCATGTATTGTTCGAGGCAGTTGGAAAATCGGTGGCTCGTGGCACACATGTAGGCTCGACACCCGTTTTCGTAGGACGTGCAGAGTAAGAGGACTGCGTTGTGAGGGGATTCCAAGCAGACCGAGCACAAGGCATTTTCCCATTCTTTGATTTTCGATGGCTCGGGTAGAGGGGCCTCCCTGCGGACAACCTTCTTGCACTTGTTTGATAAATTTTTCAAGGATCGGGAGTTGGTTTTTGTTTGCGGCTTGTTCGATTTTGCCATTTGTGTGAGATCGAAAAGAACTAATCACGCGCGTGCACTACAAGGCAAGAGATTATGACAAAGGTAAAATGTGACTAAACGAGTAAGTATAATGAAGAGTGATAGACACGATATGCTCATTTTCACTTTTTCATTTATCATCTCATATACAGAATTTCAAGAACCGATCTTTACTACACAATTCTCATTTTTTTTTTCTCATATATTTGTGACTACTAATAACCTTCACTCATTATTTTACAATTTTTACACCATGTCATTTTCAGCCATTTCATTTTCATCTCTTGTATGCCCTTCAAAATCTCAAAATATTATTATGCCCCTCCCTAAAACTATCACTACCCTCTAGTGAAAAGGAACCGAACAAAATTAAAAGTATATCCCATCACAAATCTCTTGATGTACAATTGTAGATACTCATATAGTGGTTTGAACTTTGAACACAACAATACGAATGATGGGCGGCGCCATATCCATTCACATTAGTCTTAACTATTCCAAAAACAAAGAACTAACTTTTGAACACATGCTTCAGCGGTTAGTTCATTTTCACAATACACATAAAGTGAACCTACTTGCTGCACTCTTTTGTTTCTCATTTCCTGAGTTCAATAAAGTGTGATAAATATGGATTTCGATCCACAAAGATGCAACTGATAGAATAAGATTACCGTCACATTTCCCCACACAACTTTGTTATTGAACTGCATATAATACTGCTTCTTGCTTTGCAAAGTGACAGATCGTTCTAAAGATTTATAGCAAGCTGATATGTCTATATTTTATAACCCAACAAGAAGCCAGAAAAAATGAAGGGGGCAAAAAGTATTAGTGAACCTTCTCTTCCAACTAATTCCAAAGATTCATATTGACCATACCTGTCAAAGGGTATCACATATAGTGGTCTATTCCAAAAGGTTATACATGCCACACAATAATTACAACAAAATATTATCTTCGTAAGCATATACAAATATAGAGCAAGAACTCCAGCTACTCGCGAAAGTTAAACATCTATCACAAACTAAAGCAGCAACTGAACATGCTAAATAAAAGCAGTTCTCCTCAAATCACATTTTACTTCAATCGATATCAAGCTTCTGTCAATAAATATATATATACAAAACACAGCTTAGCATTTAAATAGAGTAAGCACCTAAAATAAACCAAAAGAACATAGGAAAAAAGAAAATCATTCTGCCAAACCAAAACTAGCCAAAACAAAATGTCCTTTAACAGCATTGGCACACCATTATAACAAGTCGAGGCACGCCGCACAAATATAGCATCATAAAATCAAACACTTTGTCAATACATAAGCATATACACAAAAAGAAACTTAGCATTCAAATGAAGCACTCACTCAAAATAAACCCGAAAAAAGACGAGAAAAATAGTCATCATTCTGCACAACCAAAACTATCCAGAAAACTTTTACCCTTAACGAATCGGCTATATCCTTCGGCAATCAATACAAACACCTTGTATTCACAAAACCCCTCTTGCTATTTATATAAATCTCACCAGAATATACAAAAGATTACATTTTTCAGATAAACCCATTTCAATACGAGCAGGTAAATGGGTAACAAATAAAGGGAAACAAGAGAAAGTTCTTCATTTCTATTCGTTTTTTTAAAAAAA